GTGTGCTGACGGCCGTGGGGGGCAGGCTTGCGGGGTATACCTGTTGTTTGATGATGCATGGAGGGGATTATAATCATTGCAATGAAATGATATATGATGGGATGAATGTAAAGCTAATGTTCTCCCATGTAAACTATCACTTAATTCAAAACTTGGGGGGAAAAAAGTAACGGGGCACCAATTTCTCTGCCCAACATCATCGTACAGAAAGATGCCTTGATTCATTTGCCCTGCTTACCTAGTATCTCAATATCATGCTCTTAGCTTTGTAACTAGAATAGGATGCTTAAAGGGTGGGTGCCTTGGAACTTTGTTTCTTTAAAGAAATAGCTGTGAATTGTACTTCAGAGGTTGACCAAAAATGTCACGAGCTTTGAGAATCACAGCATTCAGCAGGTATTCTGTGAGGGGTTTTGTGATTTTTCCTTCTCGCTGAGAAGAACAGTTTAACATTCTGAGGAGCGTTTGAGAGTCATCTTGCTCCCAACTTCTGGCACCGAGTGCTTCTGACTTATTCTGACCTTCCCCACCCCTTTTGCCTTTCAACTGTTCTTCAGAGTCACATTCTATTGTGCCAAGGAAATATTTTGAAGCTGACTTTGAAGTCCTGGGGTGTGACTGTGTAGGATAAGCACTGGAATTCCAACCACAAGGTTGGTGGTTCAAACCCATCAGCCAGTACTTAGGAACCGTATACAGGGTAGCTATGATTTGGAATTGACTCGATGGCATGTAACAACAACATGTGATTTTGGCTTATTTACTTTTTTACTGTCAAATAAGTTTCTCAGTATTTGTGGATGACCTGCTACAGACACTAAGGATACAGTGAAATTTGTAGTCTCAGGGAATTTACATTCTAGCAAGTTGAACAGATGTGAAAACAAATGTTCAGGACAGCGGGCATAGTAGCCAACAAAGCACTGAGCAACAGGGTTTTGTTTTGTTTGTTTGTTTGGCTATAAATATAAAGAACACAGATTTATTGTCTCACCTCTGGAGGCTGGGCGTCTGAATCTCGGGCATTGACAGAGCCGTGCTCCCTTTCTGTCAGCTTTAGATCTTTGTTTTCCCTTTAGCTTCTAGTGACTGCTGGCAACAGGTTTTGATAAGTGTCAGGCACTTATCAAAGTTTTCTATGGCTAAAACAGTTAATGCTATAACAGCTCTGTAGTATAAGCACTGGACTGCCAGCCACAAGGTTGGCAGTCTGAACCCACCAGTTGCTTCGTGAGAGATACATGAGGCTTTCTCCTCCTGTTAAGATTGACAGTCTCAGAAATCATATGCGGGCATCACTATGAGTCAGAATCGACATGATGACACTGAACAGCAATAACATGACACAGACGTCATATTATCTCCTAGTTTACACCGGATGCAATTGTTCTTAGTAATTTTCCTGCATATTCCACTAGAGATTGGTGGAGCTGGAATTTGAACCCAGACTTTGAGTGATGGTCTGTGATTGTAACCATGCCTTTCTGAGAGAGGGAAGCATAATTTACAGGGAATCTCTTTTCATGTGCTGGACGGTGATTTGCAAATATAACTAATGGAATAGGAGTTATTATTTTTTTTTAAATCATTTCTAAAGCCATTTTTGTGGTATTAGAGAAGAAAAGGAAACTTTAGAGATTTGTGTTGTCAGGCGAGAACATTTCCCTCCATATATTCTGGAGCCCAGAATATACATATATATATATAAATTTGCTATGTGCCATGGAGTTGGTTCCAACTCATAGTGACGCTGTACAGGGCTTCCGAGGCTGTAATCTTTACAGGAGCAGAAAGCCTCATCTTTCTCTTGCGGAACAGCTGGTAGTTTCAAACTGTTGACCTTGCAGTTTGTAGCCCGATTCGTAACCACTGCGCTACCAGAGCTCTTTATGTATAAATTTAGCAGTGGTCATTTCATCCTAAGTGTTTAGGTTCAGAGACAAGTGGTGTTATAGCCACTCAATCTGGCTCAGACTTAGAGCACATAGCTGCTCGCCTGTGCAGAGTGATCTAATGCTGCTTGTGTGATTTGAAGCTGGTCTTTCACCTTTT